TTTCTTGTAAACCAGAATTGTATTTTGTTAAGTATTACTGCAATAGTCAAAATGAAGGAAATGCCGTTGCCGTAAATGTGTTTCATATTTCGTTTTTTTTCGAAGGGATAATGTCAAATAGAGATAGAGATACAATATTTAATTTCCCCTCTCCCCAATATATCGATCCAAAATACATTCCACAATACAACACAACGTGCAATAACTTGGTGATTTCAATACTTTCAAGTTTATTTTAAATTTGATTTATTTTTAATAGCCGCATAAACATCTAGGTCTGAAGCGACCACAAGCTTGTAATACAGAATCACATGTATTTACAAAGTATTTCTGCAGTACTACATGACAAATACAGGAGGTTATTATATGTACTATACATTATTATGGAAAGGTCAGAACTGGAGGCCTGGATAGACTTGACCAGAAGGAAGGCACCAAATAGATATTCTTTTATTGACACATGGCCTGGGTTTGAAATAGTAATAGCAGTATAAACCACATAGTTGCATAAGAAACTTAAATGTTACAAATAAGTATCTCAAGAACAATAAATCTTGTAGCAACAGAGATTCTCTGCTATTACTCGCGCAACTTTTCTTGAACGATGACCTTGATCCCCTTCCCTTTTGCAATAAACAGTTGAAGGCAAAAGCTCGCAGCGGGCACTGAGGACAACCTTCCAAGCATTAAAACTTCGTTGGCGCGAAACAGAAGCTAGTCAAAGCCAGTTGCTTTCATAGTGCAGACTCCCTGTTCAGGTTTATTGTCAATATCGAAAGAAATGGCTGAGTCGGGTCCAGGTCCTTCAAGGGAGTCATCTAAAACTCCCGAAAAAGTTAAGCACAAGATACAGTTTTGACTTTCATTTCACAGACGTTGGCGTTACTTAAAATACTCTAGTGGCCGACTTTGTAACTAATACCCCCACTCCACCCGAAATCGTCAATCCATCGTTCAAGAAAAGCTGCCCGAGTAATACAGTACTATGCTACAGTGATTGGGTGATATACATTATTGTGTATGTACTGTTTATATATTTACACACATATCACACATTTACATACACATCTACCAAGGGGGATAGGCATCTAATGGATTTGATTTATTGTTTTTTTTATTTTTGTTGAAACATGTACTAGATATGAATTACTGCGCGACGAAAACTCTTCTACCGAATGCAAACGCGAGAAAAGTTGTTCAGGAAGCTCCGTCAATAGGTCCTTGTCCAGGTTGAGAAGCCGCAAGCTGAAGATGTTACGAAATGTACCCATTGGAAGCTCACTTACATCTTTTACTTCGTGAAACAGCGCCTCCAGATTTTCCAGGGTTGCGAACAAGTCGTCGTCAAGTATTCGTCAATTTGTTTTCACTGAGGGAGAGATGCTTCAAGGATCTGAATCTACTGAATGTACCATTTACTAGCTCAGAAAGTTGTTGAAATGAAGAATTTTCAGATTAGACATTCCATAGAAACTTCCTCAGAAACGAAAAAAAAGAGAATATTCGGAGAGATCTATGGAAGCCAGGGTACTAGGAAATGGGCTCAGAGATATACTTATTATATTGTGGGCAAAAATAAACTCTCTTGATAGAAAAATCTTGTATCGATTTGATATTAGAAATTTCATTGTCATTTGCAACATGTTTGAATGGTATTTTGAGGAAGACTGTTCAAAGACTTTAGATAATCTCTACTTACATCAAGGTAGTTCACACTGGTAAAATAAATGGATGTCAATATGTTGAAACCCAGCAAATTGTTGGAAAAATCGGCGACACTCGCGTATGCATAGGTTTACGTGTCTGTCGCAATTTGTTGTGCTGAAGCAGCCACGTAGCACTGGAGCATTTCTCTTCTATGTATTTCTGATCTCTGCCTTCATATACTCTTCTATATACCTTCTACTCTTCATATAACAATATGATGTTCTTTGTTAGGAATGAACAATTCCAGGTATTTCCATGATCACAAGAACGTTTCTGCAAGTTCTTCCACCATATTCGAGGCAGAGAACAAGGCAAGAACGCAAAGTGCAATGAAAATTTTCATCGTGATTTTAAACGGCTCAGCATTTTTTGAGACTAAAATACTACCAGGCAATATATGTTCTACACGTTAATATGAAGTAAAACATATCTCTTGAAGTGCTCTCTTGTATAAACCTCAAATTATAAAAAAGGTTATCACTCTTTCCATGACAGCTCCGTTCTGACAGCTACAAGTACGTTGACTCTTCAGGTTATCTTCCCATTCAAGATACGAAATCGAATACACGTTTTTTTGAAAGTCACAAGAACAAAGTTCATGAAAGTCTTGACTGTTTATTATCTTGTTTAAAATTACGCAGTAAGAGATAGTTAAGAAATACTGTCGCAAAGGTACCGATTTTTCATCCTGCTATATGAAGTAAATTGCTTTTTTGAAAACGTTACTTTTTTGTCCTTAATACAGAAAGAGTCTTTTTTACAAACTCGTGTACGGACTAACATTGCTAGAAATATGCGCTTTGGAGTTCCCTCATACCGCAGAATTTTTATTTCAAAACGACAGTCTATCTATCTGTCCATCCGTCCGTGTATTCGACTATCCGTCTGTCAGACAGTCCATCCACCTTCCCACAGACACGAGTTCGAAACACACACACTATAGATTCGAAATTTGTGTATGGTATTAATGCTTTAAGCTGTGATTGTGAGGTGGGAGCATTGCAACCCGTTCAAAAATTATGGAACTCTTTAATGTGTCAGAATCGTTCCTCATACGTATGTAATTAGCTGCTTGTGTGTAATTAGCAGGGTGGCCTAGTGAGCAAGACTGTTTTCCAAGAAGCACGATCATTTCGACTTCCAGCCCTGTGAACTAATTTTGCAGGTTTGAAACATCTTTACGGCTCCAACTGATGTTATACTTCTTAACCGCTAAATCATACGAGAAACTGTGCGCTGTTGTATCGCATGCAGTGTACTCTCCAAATGTCTCATCTGCGTGTATTTGTTCTCAGCTGTGTTCGCAGGTGCGATGGCTGGCCGTTGCACAACACCTTCCGGCGGTGGAACCTCTCAGCTCCTGCAGCCGCTTCTACGCCAAGGACTGCGGCGATAAGAAAAAGAAGAAGAGGGACTGCGGCGGCAAGAAGAAGGAAAAGAAGAGGGACTGCGGCGGAAAGAAGAAGGAAAAGAAGAGGGACTGCGGCGGAAAGAAGAAGAAACCCAAGAAAGATAACTCTTGCGTCCTGTCCCCGATACCTAAGAAGAGGTGAGTAAACCTGCTGATTTGCGAGATGACGCAGAGGATAAGCCAGCCGAGTGGAAGGCTCTAGAAGTGCTAGAGCCTTCCACAGAACTATATTCAGGAATTTTTATTCATTTATTTAATTATTTAACGTCAGAAACAGTTAAAAATAATAACCTAGCCAACGTGTCGCTCTCTCAGTTCATGTTTCCTGATGCGGGGAAGCAAAAACCTATAAAAATGCTCCCCTTTGAATTTACGAGTTTCGTTAAAATATTTGTTAAGTCTACAGAAAAAGGTAACCAAATTAACTAGTGTTTTCTGAACAATTTTCAGAAACAGTTCTATATCTCGCCACTATTATTAAACTTCTTTGATTATATTCTATGATATTGTCTAGTGGCTATTTAGCTATTTTGAAGGTTACGAACTGTATACTGTCAGGGAAGTGGAACGTCTTTTCTAGATTTGGTTTTAAAGATGTTGACGAAAACTTCCATTCTCCGGGTAACTTAAAACCAGAGAGTCTATAGTAAATCAGATTGCAAGTAGTTGAGAGAGTACGTGTGCAACAAATGATGGAATCATTTGTGTTGAAAGATAGTGTACGAAATTTTATGGAGGATGGTTTTATATTAATTTCTTCTTATTTCGATTGATATAATTTTGTTTGATCATAATACACAAATACATGATCGTATCTCATTAGATCGATTTTTAAACGGATGCATGAATTTTATGCTATTTTCAATTTGCGTTGTTACTTGAGCTTTATATCCGTAAGCAGGAAATCACAAAAATTAAATTAGACATTATGTATGTAGACAATTTAGTAGGCTTATGGGGGCGTTAATCGGTAGTAGTTCTCTGACTCGTTTTAAGGTCAAGACCTGCAAACTTACATTTTTGAAACTTGCAAAGAAAAATACATATAAAGTAGCAAACCTTGAATATTCTATGATAGAGATGTTTCGGTGAGATATGGATTATCAGTTCTTTAATAGTAGATATTGACATAACGTAAATAAAACTGAATTGCAAATAAGTATCAGTGGAATTGTACCACCATGAAAATAACGCTTCAATATCGCCCCAGCTGATCACTTTGACAGGTCTGAAAAAAGTACTCCTTATTTTGTTTAATTAGTGATTCTGGGTCAACAGGCAAAGTAATCCCGTAAGTGTAGTGTACCATTATCCCGGGAGGGGCCGTCATCTGCCCAACTAGATGGCAATATCCGGCGCCGACTTATCGTTGGCTAGAGGGGTTTCCCTCAACTAGGTAACTCCCACCAGCGGGTTTCTGCCCTAGCCGGGATACGCTCTAAGTTCCCGACCAGTCACCCGGCATGTGTGGTAGTGTAATAAATGTAAGGGTGTGTGTGTAAGGGGTGATGATAGGACAAGAGACAGAGAGGGAGGAAAGATCGCGCGCGGTCCGGGCCCGTTTGTTACTGCTCCAACATGAACATGATGTAGATCAGAGAAACCACACAAAACTATAGATCAGAGCTGCCGGTCGCTAAAATTTTCCTCCATACAGCGTCTGAATCCGACTTAGCAAGTGTCGAAAAACATGTCGGGACTCGAACCTAGGACCTCCGGGTCAGAGGCCCCGCAGTGGCATCAACGTGATTTCGGCGTTCGGCAGGTACCCCGACGTGGTGGAGCACATGATGGGCGTGTTCCGGACGAGCCAGCTGGCGCGCTGCTTCAAGGACAAGGGCAGCCGCGAGAAGCAGTTCTGCCAGTGGGCTAACAACCGGCTGAACGAGGGTCTGAGCAGCGCCGTGCTGGTGGGCATGGACAAGAAGCAGCGCGGCGGCTGCATCGTGGCGGCATGCCTGGCGCGCGTCCTGCCCTGCGAGCGGATCCACGACGCCGACATCCTCTGCTTCGGTGGGCTTCCTCTGCATTCTCTCCTCCTCCTTCTTCTCCGCCTTCTCCTTCCTTCTTCCTCTTCTTCTCCTTCTTCCTCTCCTTCTCCTTCTTCCTCTCCTTCTCCTTCTCCTTCCTTCTTCCTCCCCTTCTCCTTCTTCACGGGAGGATTCAGGAGACATTCTCTGCTTCGGTGAGACTTCTCCCCTTCTCTGCTGCGTCCTCAGCATTCTCTTCTTCTTGTTCTTCTTCGCGTTCTTTTCACGTTCAGATCTGCGTGAGGATCCACGAGACATTCTCTGCTTCGGTGGGCTCCTCTTCATTCTCTTCTTCTTCTTTTGCGTTCCGCTCTGCGAGTGGATCCACGAGACATTAGGGCCCTTTACACGGGGATTCTTTAGCCGCGCGTCGGACCGGTCCCTGCCACGCTTTTGCTTGCAGCGTTCAAGATCGTGCTCTTCCGCTTTAGACGTGCGTTCTGAAACGTGTACCTGAGTGGCTCGCTGCCCGGCGCGCGTTCAAGAACGATGGTGTAAGGCCGCCTATTCTCTGCTTCGGTGAGACCTCTCCCCGTTCCTCCCTCCATGTGCATTCTCTGCACTGTCTGCTGAGTCCTCTTATTTCCTTCTTCTTCTTCTTGTTCTTTCGCGTTCTTTTTACGTTCCGCCCTGCGAGAGGATTCACGAGAATATTTTCTGCTTCAGCGAGACGTCTGCCCGTTCCTCTCTTCATGTGCCTCTTCCGCTCTGTCTGCAGCCTCCTCTTCTTTCTCTTCTTCTTGTTTCAGCGTTCATCTCACAATCTTCTTCCTGCCGTCTTTGCATACCCCCATTACTCTTCCCTTCCTCTTTTTCTTTCCATTTCCATTCTTTTTTTAGTCTTCTTCTTCTCCATCCTTATCCTTTATTATCCTCCTTCATTCCGCTACTCCGCACTACCTACTTCCTATTTGTCTTCATCTTCTTTGCATTCCTTCTTCCTATTTTATCTATCCTTGCCTGCTTTCTCTTGCTCTTCTTCCTCCTCACCCCCCCTTTTTTCTACTTCTCTCTTTTTGCCATGTACGTTTTAATTTTACCTTTCTTCTTACAATCTTCTTCGTACCCTCCTTCCATACGTCCACCAATCAATCCATTATCATCCGAGACTTCTTTCTCTCCTTCCTTAATTTATTTGTATACTTTCCTTCATTCAGATCCTCTACGCTGTCTACTTTCTCTGCCTCTCTCTGTCTTCTTGCTCCTCTCTTCTTCCCCTTCCTCCTATATTCCTTCTCCTTTATTTATTTTCCTCTTCATCTCCATCTTTTTTCCATGTCTGACCATCTTTTACCTTTCCGCTCACAGTCGTTCTCCTCAACTTCACTACGCCATCCATCATTCCATTCTTCTTCACTCCATTCCTTCCTTTATTTCTTTTCTCAAACTCTCCTCCCTTTCAATATCCTTTTTCTCGTATCATTTCCATATATTTTCCGACCTTCATGCCTTACGTTTCATTCTTCTTTGTCTCTACTCCTCCCCTTCTACTTTCCACATTTCTTTTCTGCTTCACTTATTCTTCTCTCACTCTCCTTTCAATTTCTTAATCTTCTCTTCTTTTCCCTCGCCATTGTACATATCGCATTTCCCTCCCTTCAATCTGCTTTTGTTCTTATTTTTTCCACATCTTCTTCGTGACATCCTTGGGTTATATTTCTGCCATGGTTTATGGCCAAGTTTAAAAAATAATAATTTTATTATTGAACATTGGATCATCAAGTGTTTGGGGGGAGGTGTCAATTAAAGCGCTTTAAAATTCAATCTTAGAAGTTTTTCGTTTTTTTCAAGGGTTAGCAGTTTACCTATACTTCCACACGAATATATAAAATTATACATTATATGTATGTAAAATATACATGTAATATCTGGAGTTAATATCACCAGCTCGCTAGAAATAGATATTTGTACAAAGCTCATAAAGCGACAGAAACGTTGAAATAAGATAATATGATCATTGCTCTAAGAACTGTCCGTGTCCTACTAAAGCAATCAGGCGTGCTTTGATTGACTTATGGGAAGCCCTTCTCGCTTTGTGTAGAAGCGAGGCGAAATACTCGTACGCATCCAGGGAACGTGTCTTTTGAAAATCTTGCCAATAATCACTTTCCTTTATTCTAAATGCTGTGAAGGCAGGTGCTTCAATCGCAGGGAGTAAACAAGAGCTCTGCGTAGGGGGGGGGGCAGTTGAAATGACGTGCACGCTCTTTGGCCTGCAGGGAAGAAGGACGATGACCCTTTCCTCCTGGAGATGAAGCGCATGTTCCTGACGGTGCATAAGCGGCTGGACCTCTACGACCAGCTGTGCGTCAAGGAGCTCCTCGACTTGGCGTTCGTCTCCGAGGACAGCGACTACAAGGGAAAAGGTCCGGTCGTTGTTTTAAAACGACCTAGTAACGCCAGAGAATGACACTGACTTTCTCGTAGGAAACTAATACCTTCACTAATAGCAAACGTTTATCTAGAAACCATTATATCTAGAAACGATTTTGTCTAGAAACGATTTTGTATAATTAACACAAGATTTAGCTTCATCATTCACTATGAGCTGCTGCTGTTGTGTTTTTTACATTTATCAACCACTTACCTCGTACCGGTTCTCTTCAGACAATGTAAATTTTCATGTAGGTACCAGACGAATGGCAATATTTTCGTTCGAAACACGAAACATTATAGTAATTTCAGTAATAAAACGATTCCAACTAATATACTTGAAATACACTCACTAAGAAAGTAGTGCACTATGCAAACACTTAAACCACACTGCACTATTATAATAATATTCCACAGATTAATCATTTTATTAAATAAAATTATCTCGAAAACGTGATTTACTCGGAATATTCTCCCGAATCAAAACAAGCTCATTGTTAATATTGAATTCTTGGCACGACAATCATCGTAAAACACTTGCAAACTCTTAAGCGAGCAAATAAAAATATCACATTTGCGGTAATATTTACAAAAAAAGACAATATTATAAGAATAGTTTGATACTTTTCAAATTATGTGACTTTTTACTTTTCGATTTTGTGCGATAATTATTACTCTGCGTGATTAAAAAAAACACATACATTTTCCGGTATTTTTTGATTTAGTACTGTAAATCTAGCACTACTTTTACGAAAGAAGAAACTTGGATCAGATTTTGAGAAAATATTTTTTTATGTCCATAATTCAATCAAAATTATTCTAAAACTATTAAAATACCATAAAAATGTACATGTCCTTAATGAAAGAATATGTTATAGAGAACAAATTTTATTTAAAGGAGAAATCTGGATCTTCAATTTTGTAGTTGTAGAAAGACGTCGAAAATATTTTAAACTTGTGTAATTTTCAAAAATTCACAGATAACAGTAAAAATTGAGTCTCTGTCACCTTTATTAGTATACTTCAAAGTATAATTACAGAAATTTAAAGAACACTGAAATAAAGAAGATACACAAATTCCAAAAGAATATAATCACTTTTCACTGTGAAAACAGTTACATTTGTTTCTGAAAATGCAATTTATATGATTTACGTTTTTAAAGATCTGCGCATGAACCTTTCTTGTGGATAGAGAAGAAAAACCTGATTTTAACTCAAAAATGTTGTCACCACTAATAATTATAAACCCTCAACATATTTGAGATATCAGATAAAATTGACGAACTGTCATTAATATACAGCCTCTAATATTTTTCCTTTGACACAATCTTCGGACTCCAATTAATTTGCTATTTTCGCTTCGCTAAAATGATACATGCTTGTTCACGCTATGAAACTCCTACTGCTTTTGGTAGATCGATTACAACTCGCACATCAAAAGTGCAAATTTTTTGGGTCGTCTTCCTGCAACTACAATATTGAATGTAGAAATTGTTTATCTTAATGAAATCTGTTCCTTAAAGACCTATCTTAAAATGTTTTTGTGTTCAATTTTTCGAAAATAAGAATAATAATGTAATTTGACACAAAATATTTTAAAATAGAAACACTTTTTTCTCAAAAACCACTCCAACAATTTTTTTTTTTTAATTTTTATCCACGCAGAGAAGTCATGCTTAAAAGAATGGCGTAGGTCTCCTTTACGTTCAACTCTCTTTAATTTTTGAAAATTGCAAATTTCGAAATAATGCGCGAAAGTACGTGCTGTAGGAGTACCACTTGTATCTTTTTTTAATCGGCTTGCGCAGGTTACTGCAAGAACGCGATCAAGGCCTCACTGAACCTGGGCGCCAACAAAGGCCTCAAGGCCGTCAAGTCAGACGCCGCCAACATGAAGATGGCCAAGTGCGTGCAGAGGGCGTGTCTCTCGGAGATCTTCACCATGGAGTTCTGCGAGTACAAGGTCAAGGGCAAGGTGGTGTTCCCGGACACCGAACCCCCGAACGACAAGCTCCGGGTGTACGCCGGTATGCTGTCGTGCGACGACCCCTTCGTGACTCCGGTCAAGATCAAGATTCCGAAGAAGGAAGACTGCCGCTAGCGCGATCTTGTGACGACTACAGCAAACTGTGTGGTACCACTGCCGTCGCCGCAGCCGCGACCGTTTCGCCCCGAAAGCAACAGGAAAGAGTTTCATTTTTCATGGGGAAAATTGTTCTCGTCGCGACAAGTATGTTGGCAAAATTAAGTGCAATAGTGATATCTAACAGAAAAGAATCAAAATGTAATACTCACTTTTTGGAGAAATTTTGTAGTTCAATCTTGACTTTTTTTAAGAAAACAATTTATGATTTTTTAGTGTAAACTGTCCTCCATAAATAAAGATGGTCTCTTTGAATCTCTGTGGATTTCAAAAGAAAATCATATAATTGTATACATTATTTACGCAATTAGTTCTAGTCTTTGGAAGAACGAATATCACAGAAAATATTTTGGAGTTTTTTATACCTAGAGTAAATACAAGTTTGTAATAAGCTAAGCTATAATTTTGGAAATGGACCAAAATTATGAAAGTTGCAAACAAGTCTCATTCTATTCGTTATTAACTGAACATCTCGTAAAAAAGGAGAAACTCAATGCTATGACTCAGTCTCAAGTATCCTTCTTACCTCATATAAGTATACGGTGAAAATTGCATTGCCATCAGTCATACACTGTTCACTACGCATTAATAGAGACATGAAATGCTAGCGGCAAGCAGTATCAAAAATGGTGCTCAACAAAAACCACACATGTTTTCCGTAGAGTAGCACGCTGCCCAAGAACAACAAATGAAGTACTTTCTTCTACATACAACTACAAATTGAATATCTTCACGAGTACTTCATTAGCACAGTAATATTGATACACAGTACAACAGAACTTCAAACAAGAATATCCAAATAGGATGCTACACATGAATAGCAAATATCTAATGAAGGGCAGCCTCTTCCTTGGAATCTTGCTGTCACGTGACGACATCGTGTAGAAAGCAACTATTCACTGAGTATTAGAGTTCAGTCCGTACGTGAAGCACGAAATAGGTGGTTTAACGCCAACGAATATTTGCTTTTTTGTAGAAACAAAATTGTTTCATAATTTTTTTTTTTATTTTTACCGAATTCCTGAGTTTGTAACAAAACAATACAGTCCTCACAACACTAGATGCTATGAACGCTGCGGATTTTCTTTCAATTTCTGCGCGCTTTGGAAGTTAGTAACATGTAGTGTTATGGTTTTGTATTTTTGCAAAGTTCCTGGCTATCTAACGAAACCACATGGCCCAAGATTGAGTAGTTTTCTGTTTAGGCGCGCATTGGCGATTAGTAACATAGATCTTTTATCAATTCTATGTGAATGCCTCATGCTAGGGTGGATGGACCAGTAAATGACCATTTACGCGCGTGATCATAAAAGTCTTGCCATCACTACATGAAAATCAATGAAATTCAAATAAAAATATATGAATATAGAATTTATAAATGCCGCAGAACAGTTCTACTCTGATAGTTAATGTTTCAAGCCGGAAGAGAAGCAGTGTTTAAAATTTAAATAATTTTTACTGTGCACACAAGTGAATGACCAAATGTTTTCAGTAGTTGACCGGACACCAGTAAATGACCACCAACCATAGAACTTTATGAACACGTGGAAATTATATTTTATTTTTCTTAACTCGTACTGTATTATATTTCCATCGCTCCCAAAACGGAGCGGAAAGCATATAGTTCGAACAATGCCTTTGTGTTGTACGTGTGTGCAACAATAAGCACGCGTGACGAGCAATAAACTTAATTTGGGTATTGATGAGTTAAATAGGCATTGAGTAATCTTAAAAGTAGATTAATTCTTACTGATAATGGATTTACAACCGTAACTGGAAAACGAACAATTTTCACAAGTCTACTTATTATGAAATTGGAAATGTAGAAAGAAACTTTGACGAAAATAACAAAAATACTTTTTGGAAATAATAAGATTGAATGACTAAAGAACATGAATTCAACTCTTAAAGAAAATCTGCTACAAGAAAAACATTTTTCATTCTAAATGAATTACACATTGTAATGTTCTATTAAAACATTTACTTATTTTTTAAACACAAACAAGCATCATTTTCTTCCATTTCATTATGTGATCCAAAATATTTATGTTATCAAAGTACTTAGTAACAGAGCGAAGGACAATATTTTTTATATCATCAGTGAATGAACAAAATGGTTATTAGATTTGATTTATGTAGTCAAAAAACAGTAAAAACTGTTTGTGACGTATGGGGGAGATGATTTACTGCGCACGTTTTGTTGAGTTTCAGTATCCCTTCCCGTCATTTTAACTATAAATAGTTGAAAGGTGAGTAAAAGTTTAAAATAATTAAATAAAAATAAATTTTAGAAATGCGGGAGATTAGTAATATTTGAAAAAAATTGACATTTTCGTTTCCGAGTTATAGAAAATTTATTTGCATCGGTAAAACGAATTGCAAGTGTGATTTTTTTGTATTACTAACACAATAGTAACGCGCCCTACCTCTACGCCTACCATTAGAAGAAAAAGGAGAGTTCAACAAAACATGCGCATAGTGAAGCTACATTCACTGAAACACAGCCAAGGCAAATTCCAATGAATGACCACCCCCCTAATACGTGCATTTCAGGTTATATGAATGTTTTCCCTTATAAAATGCATTTATGATCTCTTACGTGTCATAATGAACTACTCAATAACAAAAAACCGATTCCACATTACGTAACGTATATTATATAACGTAGTTTTTAACTTTCCATATTGTGAAATACACTGAACCAAAATATTCTTACGAGATGAGCAACTCGACCCCTTTTCAAACTCACTCTCACGTGTTTACGGCTAGTCAACCACAGAATAACTTACAAATACCTTAGTCTTGATAAACCATATCACGTTGATTGACTCAGAGACCTAATGCACTTATTCGAA